TACCTGGGTCATCATGATCAATGTCTGCCAAACTATAACTAAAATTTACAAGAAGATGCACAACAAACACTGCTTAGATGCAATATTAGGCCATTGATAATCCAGTGAACCTGGAAATTGTGTTGAAATTTAGAGTTCCAATTTTATGACATGATGATGAACTAGCAGGGATGTTAAATAAACACAAACTGTTTTTGAATGCAGGTAGTCAACTAGACTAAAGTGGACCACATTATTAATTTTCCTAGTCCTATGTCAATGTTGCTATTTAAACAAAATCCTTACGGAAACATTACGGAACATAAATTACAATTATTGCAATAAAAATATAGTGAAGTTTTAGGGGGAAAAAAATTAACAAATTTTAATGCATATACCCCGGTACCTGTATTTCAAGCTGCGTTTTCTAATAAAACAAAATTGTTATTTTATAATCTACCAAATGAGAGTATATGATAAACTTATCCCCAAAAGTCCAATTAGGCTAGATGTTTTACTAGTCCTTGCTGAAATCTACTAGTCTGAGACTTAAGAGGACTACAAACTATTTGTGTCAAACCCTGTCAAACCCTGTCTAGTGAACCAATATGATGAAGTTTGGAACTCCAATTTTATGAAACAAACAAGAACGGCTCTAATTGAAGCAGTTTACTAATTGTTTGTTTGCTTGGTTGCTTGGTTGCTTGGTTGCTTGTTCATTTGTTTGGAATGGTTCAATCACTCTTACAAGCAGATATTTTGCAACTCAACCAGTTTTTTGAAAATCTAACCCACAAGACATTCTTGTGGATCATTGTGACAACAACTTTCTTCCAAGAGGATGATCTTATTTTGTAGCTCATTTATTGTTTTAACAATTCAGCCGAGCAGACATTTTTGTAACTAATTCAAGAAATATTTCAACCATTTAACAATCTTCTACCAAGAGAATGTTCCTGTAGCTAGTTTAATGTGCACCATTTTTATACTTGCTAACTTTTATAAATTTCCATGGGGGAGATTACATGTTCTCATAATTGTTAACACCCTAGAGAAAAAATAACACTTTTAAAGGCATCTTTTTAACCGTTCTTTCAGATGAAATCATCATATCTTTCAAGATAGGAATATAGTTTAGCAAAATTACTTTAGGGCCCGAACTCAGGAGTCTACCTCCTAAATAGGGAGAGTTGGCAAGTATGCATTTCTTTATCAGGGTATGTTCTCAAACAAGTCATTGATGTATTAAACAATACATTGTTCAAGAGGACATTCCTGTAACTGGCATTCAAATTTTTTAATAATTCTCTAACGCAACTGTCTTTTTTAATTGTTCAATATACTTTGACATTTATTAAATACCCAGAACAGTTTTACAGCCAAACTGAAGAACATTTTCACTAATCTGCCGAACAAAAAGTTCTTTAACCTTAAAAATATGGAAGTAAATTATTCAAAATCAATTACATTTATTCTAAATACGATGAACTTTTTCCAGATTTCAGTAGGAACAGTTTTTCATAGTGTTATCAACAAACTATAAGAAGATATCAGAAAGAGTCCAAAATAGTTTACGTATCAACATTTACTTACATTTACGAGAATGCAATTGGGTTTTTTCCACTGCTGTCCAAACACCCACACCAACCTAGTTTCCCGGAAGTGTAAAATAAATAAGCTCACCGGCTCTGTTCAATTTGGCGACTAAATATAGGGTCTGTACTAACACCTTGACTGAGTGGGTACATTGTGGAAACAGCAACGTTAGCACTATTTCCAGGTTCCAATTCCCAAACGACTGAACCCTATACTGTTAATTTAACCATGGCCTCAAAGGAGCGTCCGGCCGAGATGGTACGACTTATTGGTTAGTTAGCCATCATCATAAAATCAAACTTAATAACACTAACATACATGGCACAATTTCTAGTCACGCAGACCAATCCTTCTAGATCTGTTAGGTATATATATGTAATGAATGTCGATTGCGAGTTTAGAAACTTTAAAATACTGTGGAAAAATCGTGTGTATGGAACAAAACAATGTGTCTTAACGAAGAAAGCAATGCATGTCAGAGCCTAAATATAATTAACAAATTTCCTCTGTATAACAGATTAAGGTGAACTGAAGTATATAGTTTATGGTATATTCCGATGGAATCAATATATGACTCTTTTGAAGCAATTTCGGATGGAAATTAAAATTTTATAAGTAAAATTGACTTTCCCTTTTACATATAATTCCTGGGAAATAATCTTACATCCGTGCAGCGTCAGATTTTATAGCCTCAGGCAAAATCTTTAACCTGACATCATATCATCGTTTTCACTCTTAAATAAGGTACAGCAAGTCATCAAAATATTTTATGATTTCCACAAATATCAACCCCATTATACATGATATTTTAAGACCCTGATCAAAACATCATAATTCAGACACGTAATTAATATACATCATGTATATTGAACTTTAGTCTTTGAAATGATACATAGCAAATTTAGCTTTGTCTGCAATAAGGCAATATTTAGTAGAGGCCCTATAGCCGTCTTATATTGTAGTTTACCGACATTTGCAAATCAATATTGTTTTTAACCAAACTGAATGCTGTGAAATGACAAATGATCTGAAGTTGAATACATTACATGCTGAGCATTATTTCTCTTTCACGTGCTGTGGCGAGGTACTGTGTCCTCAAATTGAAATTGTTACGGGTAGGCAAAATCACAAATCATTAATCTAGGTCACATGGCCCTTGATTTCACATTTATATGCCGCTATAATATGTTACTCTGGCGTTTATAACCATGATTTTTGTAATTTCGCATGGCCACAACAAAAGTGATTTGAAGCTCAAAGGACAGCTATACTAGTAAAATAGAAATTTATTAAGCTCTGCATAACATGGTATATTATTCTATTATGGCCCTTTCTCGAGGGGACTGTTATGTGATAGTGTTGTCTGGGCACTATACCTCTTCAGATAACACTATAAGAGAACTGTTCCCGAGGGAAAGGGTCATAATAGATTTAGTACATCACATGACTGTCATTTGACCATGAAAAGTAACATATTTAATGATTAACAACAAACGGCAATAAGATAATTTTTTGAGTAGATCTTTCCTTTTTTGTTGCGTATTCAATTCACTGGATTGAATCATCCCTAGGTCACATATAACGTTCCCCTTTCCAGTAGGAAGTCTTTAAGGACTGCGACGTCAAATGGTGTCGCCTGATCGCGATCGTCTTTATGCATTGCTGAGCCTCTGCGAAGCAATCAGCATTCCTTCAGGCCCCGAAATTTGAAGCCATTTTGGCAGATGACAACAATGAAGTGAAAGTAGAATATGTACAGCGCCCCCTATGAGAAGGGACGCAACTCTTAGCGTCACGCTACTTTTCCCGCAGTCTCAGCGGTCCAAAAAAAAAGGTATAGTGCCCGTCTCCAGGTATAGTTCCCGTTGTCAAGGGCGGATGCTAACTATACCAAATAAAACAAGGGTTGTTATCCAAAAGCTATCCTAGAAATTATCATGTGATGTACTAAAAATTCATAGCATCCAATTTGGTTACGAAATGTTATAATTTTACTGTAAAAGTGAACATGCTCGCAGTGGTGAACTGGTCCCATTTTTCACCGATTCATTAGTGTGGATTTTTGTTTGTTTGTTTGATTTTGTTTAACGTCCTATTAACAGCTAAGGTCATTTAAGGACGGCCTCCCCTGGGTGCAAGATGCATGCATGTAGTGTATGTGTGTGTATATTGGGAGGCTGCGATATGTTCGTGTTTGTCTCCTTGTGATAGCGCGAAACTGATGCCGAAATATCCACATGAAAATATCTATATAGTAAAAGAAGATAAAGTATCCATGTGAAGTAGGTAAGTATAGAAAAAATGAGATCTAACGATCGACTACAAATTTATTGAATTTTGGGTTTTTTATTTCACAACTTGATTGAATAATTTTATGTACCCTACATAATTGATAGAGAAAAATCAGGAATCTCCCCAAAAATTGGGAAATTAATCTTTTGAATATAATTGTAGAATATAAAATTATCTAACAAGATGTTTTAACAGTTTCGTACTCAAAGACCTATTTATTGAAGATATATACGTCTTCAATACATCATTATTTATCAGCATGTGGAAATCGTATTGTTTGGCAATGTTTCACACCCTGTCACCAATGTGGATCGTCATAGCAACATTACACAACATTGATCACCATGACAACAACCCAACAACTCTTTAGCACTACCCTATATACATTTAACACTGTAATGGCGGACACAAAAACATGACTACAACATTTATATATATATATACATATATATAAGGAACAACTTTCAGCTAAATGTAAAAATAGTATCTTTTTTTTTACAAAAACAGGATTCACAATATATAAAGCCACTCAAAGAAAAATCAATAAAAATATTTTTAAAAAATCAGAAAACATGCAAAAATTTGTTTCCATCTACAAAAAGAGACCAAAACGCTATACATATTTTAAGTCACAATTGCAAATCAAATTTTGAAATAACTTACATCTATAAATGATTTCAACCATTTATATATTTAAATATATTTCTTTTCTTAGTTTGTAATTTTACAAATCGATACATTTTTCAACCAAATTCATGTTCTGTTTTATCGATTTCTACAAAATTTTATTCAGCATATTAGGCAAGTTTGGTTCCCCTTCAATATCTTTACACGGAGTATAATTTTCTAAAATTTGTCCAATTAATAAAAAAGCAAGCTTTAAAAATAGCATTTAAGGATTCAATGAATTCAAAATGAAATCGACTCTATGAGATAGCTTAATTAATCAAGCGCCTGCAGGATTTTGAAAATTAGAAGTAGAGCAGGCACTGACTGTTCTACAAATAGAAAATCCATTTCTATGTTTACTGAAATAGAAGAACTTCAAGCGAAATATAAACATAAAAATGGTACACCATTGATACGATTCCATTTACACACACAGACAGAGGTTGTGCGTGGTACAACTTTACCTTAATTCCTTTCAGACGAAATGGAACTTGACGTCTTACCTGTCCAGAAAAATTCAAAGTGTTAACCCTCGAGCCAAAAAAGTCTCGTATTGTTTCCATAAATGCTTTTTAGGAAAATCTGCAAATAATAAGTTCTCAAAATCGTTGATTATTCCTTCTATTGACGCTTCCGAATCATCTCGCTTTGCAGTCGAACGAACCATCCAAGTAATTTTCCACAACAACACTATAATTGGAAGCAAGAATTGGCATCAACAACTGGGGAATGTTTGTGAGAAGGTGTGAGAAGCTTGTATCTAGGTAAGTTAAGGGCCAATGGTGCTAATGGATCATAGTCAGAAAACAGTCCATGGCCCTTCTGTTGAAATTGTATGACATACTTTAAAATGATCGGTGGAGTTAATATTTACATGACGTACCTGAAGCCCATATTTCAGTGAAATTCAGAGCCTTCTAAACACAGATTCACGTCAGAAAGAAGACATATGTTTCGCAGACGGTATTAAAAGACGCCTCTGTTTTTGCACCAACTCTTCATTCCCTATACAAGACCTAACATGATAATCTAGGGAGTAGAAACTCGTGTAAATATCCTCACCTTGCTGCAGATATAAAACAAATACACCAATGACGCATACTACATACATTCTCTTCTTGTTGTTTTGATCGAATGAAATTTATACACATTGGACAATGTCGGTATCTAAACCTGCAATACATTGACTCGTAATATTTCAGATAATGGTTTAACTAGCTATCCTGATAATATGATTGTGCTATTCTTTATGTTTCTTTTGTACCATTCAAAGGACTAGGGGTGTAAAGGGTCGTTTCTCAGGGCCTCGATCATCAGGGATTTAAAAATAGTGTTACATTTGTAATCTGGGATAAATGATCGAAGTACGCAAATATGATATTTCAAATTAATTGGACAACTGGTATAGACGATATTGCGTAACGAAGAGATGTAATATATGTCCTCAACCCGCATATTCCACAATAAAACACATGAATATCGTCTACCGTGTGCTTTTTAGTTTGGTAATTGGCCATTTCGATGCAAATTAACAAAATACTGTTCAATTTTTGAAAACCTTGGCACGCACCAACCAAAAATATATTTGGCATGCTTAAACATTGTCATACCAGTCGTCATTTGTAGAAAGGAATGTTTGGTTGTGCATTGTGGAGGCTTTCATTTCTGCATGCTAATATAACTGTCCAAAAACATCCTATTTTGGCTACTTCTGCATTGCAAATAATGCAATTTTACTGCTATGGTGGTATATACCTGCGCCAGGCAAAATAGCGCAAATTATCCAACATGAATGTTTATAAAAGGAATTGGTAATTTCATTTTAGGTTGAAATTTTCTATTTTGATGAGGTTGAAAATGACCCATAACGCCTTTTAAAGTCCTTTCTGTAAATAGTAACTGAAGTTACCAGTTATCATCACTGTCGGTTTTTGTGGGAGGTTCTAATATTTTCTTTTTTATTTCTCCTCAGTTTTTTTGTCCATTGACATATAAACTAGACTATAATGCTCACAAATTTTACTTGTTTAATGATATGCTGTAAATATGTGATCATTTTATTTTTATTTATTTTTACGAATCAAAATGTACCGGCTTATAAATAGTGAACCAAGGATTGAAATTTCATGATGTAAATGTCCACAGAAAAATAATGACCTATCAGATAGCAATTACATTTATCCTTCAAGGATTGTATCGACTTTCTAATTTTTCTGATATGACCTTTTCATAGAAGTAGAAGTCAACAAGAAAATTTTGTTAGCATTCAGATGTGACAGCAAACAGTCCTTAATAACAAACCAACTCTGTCAACACTTAAGCAAATTGAGAGTTTTTAATTTTAGAAGCAACCTTTTGTACTGAAATCTATTTCTTGCCAGCAGAAACAATTGTTCTTTTTTCTGAGGAAGTTTGATGATAAAAGGCTCTTCAGAACATGCAAGTGTTTCTCTAGCTACCTCAGCTCCTAAACAAAACGTGTGTCATTGACAATCTTATACCATCAATACCGATCTTGTTATCGCTTATTTAATTAAGAATTCTTTTCAGCAGACAATAGGGGAGATAGGGGTCCCCACAATTCTATTATCACGATAGTATTGACAAATTTGGATCCGTGACAGCACTCTGACATCAATACTTCTTCTTTTATTCAGCTCCGAAACAATTCAATTCCAGATGATTTGAGTTCTAGGAATGCGCTTGATAGATTCATAAGAATGCCTTGTGCCCCCAATTTCCCGTTTTCCTTCTCGAACAGGACGAACCCGAGCGTCCTGTGATTTACAGTTTGGCTGGGTCAATAACAACATACGGAGCCTCACTCTGAGCCTGCGACACAGACACAGACAGCTATAACTTAATCGTCATTGATCACTGCACACCAATCACAAACTCATGTCCTGTGTCTTCCCACAGACTGAAGAATCACACATATTTGATAAATTTTGGCAAAAAAATTTAAACGAACATTCACAACTAGAAGTAAATCAATGATTCTGACATGATTTTAGATGACACATGGTCAAGTCTACAGACGAAACACTTCAAACATCTGAAATTTTTTAACATGAAGTGAATTAAACTTAATGTTATCGGACACCTGACTATTCTGGCAACCTGTATAATCCAAAATAAATCCTGATGAAAACTATCAAATATAAGACCTCAGAATTCTGTTATCTGGTCGGATCCAAGAAAGGTGAACTTTCATCTGGATGAAAAGTATACCAAGTAAGACCTCAGTATACAGAACTTCAGATAAGTCCATTCCTGATGAAAACCAACATACCATACCTGAGTATTCTGACTTCCTGTCTAATCCAACATGTTGTAATTCATGATTTCTTATGAAAACTATACCAACAAATTTGAGTCAAAGTATCTCCCCTTTGGAGACAATTTTTAGTTATTCCAAAAACTTGTCAATGAGACCAATTTGTTGTGCCCCCTCTTCCTTTTATTTTTAGCTAAAGATATTTGGCACCAATGCAAACTTTCCTTTGCCATCTTTAACTGGAAGACCATATATATTGTTCTGCAAGTTTTAGAAGAAACAAGATGCGTTAATTAGTGTGGTATCATTTGACCTTTTTCCTAGAACGTCTTCAAGGCCATGATTTAGAAAGCAAAACACATCATAGTAACATCTTTATCTAATTTAAAGACAGCTCATAAAACCTAGATCACTTGTGGGACTGTTTTTGGCGATAACAACAAAACTACAAAAATTACGGAACTCACGTAGACCTGGTTATCTATCTGTTGTAACTATATATATATATATGACCACACAATGCCTGTCTTCAAAATAAACAGTCTCCTGATGAACGGGGAATCAACCCGAGAAAGGCCCAGAGACGCTATCTCTGTCTTTCGTTCTATTTTTTATATTTAATTCCAACACAAGGACTTCTCAATGTTTTCTTTATATATATATATATATATACAAGATACTACAGTAACATGTCCCCCTGTAGTATCATCAGGTTCCCAGCCACCGTTTCGCACTCCTGCCAGACTTACGTTACATCGCAATTTACCCAGTTATTTGTAACATATGTGCAGCTCTGTGGTTATAAAAACTCGGTACAAAGCATTTGTCTCTACAGGGAATCTGTATCATCAAAAATGGCACGGCTACGCGGCGTCTGGACTCGCCGAGGGATTCGTCTGCCACAGATAAATCATCACATACGTCTCAACTGACATCTGTCAACACTGTAGTTGGATTGATTTACGTAAAGAGCTCTTACATTTCCTCAGTAAAGCTTCTTTCCTGGTCTGACACAGAAAAAAATCTTTTTTGTCGTAACCAATTGGATAACTGATTTATAATTGTAACCCACAAATCCTCACAGCTGACACTTTCAATCAAGATCTCTCAATTCCCTGATCTCGCATCATTTTGTACATATTCGTACCTTTTAATGAATATTATCGCCTGATAAATCCCCGGGACTTCTGTCGTTTGTTACGTTGAGTCAAGACAAAATTAGATAACAGAATTTTGCAGCATTGAAAATGAAAAATATCTAAAAAAAAAAATGTATTTGTTGTAAGTTCCAAAAACCTGTTTTTGTAAGAACTATATAAATATATATGCCCCTGGACTTCATGTATTTAATTATTACGACATATAATACTTTTTATTGGCATTTCTACTGACCTGCATTATATATATATGGGTGGGCTTATTACCAGGCATGGGCTTATTGCTGGATAAATATGGTACAACAAGAAAACACAAACTGTGTTTTAAAAGATAATAATCAGAATAAGATACATTAAACACCGCTACAAAACAACAAATTGTATTAGTGAGAGCCTGGCAGGTTAATTCACATTGATAATTCCATATATAAGTATACATTCTGGAGCCTATGTAGCTTTCCTGTATTACTTGTTAAAGTTGGTTCGTTGGTTCGTTGGTTTGGGGTCTGAAGTTCTTGCGACAGCTATTAGGGTCAAATGAAGACAGGTAGCGAGGGAAACACTCGCTTCACTCTCTCTCCCCCCCCCCNCCCAAAAAAAGAAAAGAAGTAGGGTAAAGTTTGAAAAGAAAAGGAAAATCTGAAGTCTTGCTATGGGGGCAGGTGTTTTTTTTCTGTGGCCTCTAAAATAGAAGACACATAATAAACCCCACGATTCTACACGGTGGCAAACGTTAGTTGCCTTGACCTATGACATCAATGACCTATGACATCAGTATGATTCGATCAGCAGGTCAATTCTTCCCGCAAAACCGCACAGGGAAATATACTGAGGGGTCAATTTACGTCTCTTCATATTTGACATTGAGATCAGTGGGGGTTGTGTATATCCTTATATCAGATCACAGGGTCTTCTACAATAACATTTGGGTATGTGAAAAATCATCATTCGAGATTTACACCACTTAAGGGACTGCAACCAAAAAGTCAGCATTTTACGGCTTCTCTTCAAATATTGATACCGTTCATATGTCAAATTCGCTTGCTTTATCCTACGTTGATCAATACTT